GGGATGCGTCACCTAGCCGCATCTATAGAGACGACATCATGCATAGTTTTCCGGTCCCAGGGGAGCATCGGCGCTCTGGCGAACCGGATCCGATCGGGCCGAACGGTGCCTCTCGTCCTCGCCTCACAATTGTTAGGCAAGATGATGTCCCGCATCCCCATCGTTCCCGGGGCACGTCTGGATACCAGGACCCTACAATGGATCGTCCTGACTACCCGGAAATCCCGCAGGAGCAATTCAACTACCGGAGACCGAGTCCCACCAGAAGTCCTCCAGTGGCGGATGTCACCGACCGCAACCAGGGAGCGCCCATTCAAGGAAACGAATCGTTTCGCGATCGCTACGGACGCCAGTATGTTTGGTTAGAGAGGCCAGATAGAGACCCGGGTGGCAGAAGGTCAGCGGACAGAAGAGGAATGACGAACCAACGTCAACCGGCAAGAGATCCAAGCAGGTCGCGGAGCCCTCCGATGGATCCAGACTACCGGCCACCACGTACTGATCCGAGCAGAGAACGGAGCCACCAAGGCCCATACGAACCGCCAAGGGAGTACCCACTCCAGGTAACTCATGTGAGAAGCCGGGCATTTGGGGCCCTGGTCAGAAGGGCATCTCCTATCCGTGCGAGCAGAACTTAAGTGCTCCCCCCCCCCCGACCCGTTTTGGTCCAAGCAGGCATCCATGAGCCTCCTGTGACCAAAATATAGACCCCCCCATGCTCCATTTTGGGCCTTACAGCCCTCCCTGAATCCTCATGGGACCAAAACCAAACCGTGGGGGAAATGGATGCTGCACACACTCCCATTTTGGGCTTAGCACCGTCCCCTGGTTTTACAGGTGTTCTGTCTGCCTTGTACGCAGCTTTATTTCTCTTTAGCCTCCATTTCCCTTGTTTTGCGACTTTAGGATTTTCCTCCATTTGCTCCTGAGAGGCACTTCTTGTTCCTGTAGTTAAATTCTCAATGGCTTGTTTAGCAGTTTTAAGTGCATTTTGAGTAAAACTAAACACCTGCAGCCTCATGGGGCCAAAAATAGGCCAGTGGGTTTCCCCGTGAAAAAGGGAGACTTTTAAGTTTCTAGTCCTAGGTATTTATTGTGAGCCGCCCTGAGTCCCCTTCGGGGGAAAAGGGCAACATATAAATATAATAAAATCAAATCAAATTTCTAGGGAGGAAAATGTCCGGTCCAAACGTAATTTCTAATGTTGGATTTCTCCCCTTACAAGAGGGAACCTCTTGTGGAGGACTGTGAAGCCATTACCGTGGCAACTCCACTGCGCTGTACAGTGGAAGCCATTTTAAGGCACCACAGGCTGTATCTTAACAGAACACAGACCCCGAAGGGTGTTAGGACTCTCTTTCCCCCGCAGTATTTGTTTCCCGAGAGTAAATCATCTGTGTACCAAGTTTGGTTGTAATTGCTTGAGGCTTTCTAGAGATGCTGCAGCATACACAAAAAAACAACACACACGCAGAGCCATATTTATATGCGGTATATATTAGAACTCCCCCTCTTCCCCAGTATCATAAAAACAGTATAATTGTCACAAACATGCCTAGATTATATATTAAATTTGCACAATTTAATGCTGGATTCTTGTGAAGTGATAACCCGGTCTCTTTCTTGCAGATGTACTCGGGGAGACGGCGCCAAAGAGCGGAGGCATCCTAAGAACCGGGAGTACGGTTAGCCCATCTTTCGACCCGTGTGGCGAGGGTCGTGTGGACATTGGTGGAAATCTTAAGGGAAGAGCCGCCTTCTTCCCTTGCCAAGTTTTTTTTTGTGTGTGTGGGGGGGGAATTCCTCCATTCACCCTTTGATATATCCCCATCTTATACATCAATGAGTGACGTCCGGTGAGTTCTTAGCTGATGTATCTGAGCTCTCCTTTCCTCGTTCTGTGTTTTGGGTTTGAAAGGCCACTGGTGTCGTAAGTCGAGGACTGCCGAAAAGAGAAATATGTCCCCTCTGCCCTTCCTCATTCACATTTATCTGGCCTCGTCCCTTCTTCCTTTCTTCCCCCCACCCAAAAAAACCCCCCAAACCCACAAATTTATCCTCAATAACTTAATTTTTGAGTTTCCCTTTCTTCCCCCCCCCCACAAAAACCCCCCAAACCCACAACTTTATCCTCCACAACTTAATTTTTGAGTTTCCCTTTCTTCCCC